TTTCTTTTTTCTTTAAAAAAAAAAAAACGATGAATTCATGAGGGAGCCCCATGTAGAGGACAGAAAAGTGGAGGGCCACTCGTGTTCGTACTCACAGTGAGTGGTCCCTGGGCTATCTCTGCCCAGTTTTAGAGTCTATGCAAGGTAATTTAAGGCTGCCCCAAACAGTCATCAAGTCATACAGATTCAAAATGTTAAAACATTGCAGTGCTTACAAATGCAGCAGCCCAAGCCAGCCCCAGTTGGCTTCAGCATCCTTCTGGAACTCCTGCACACTCTGTTACTCTAAAGACCTGACTTTTTAAGTTAGGTCCTATAGTGGTACCTATGTTTCTAGTATAAGGGGGCCTGAGACAGGAGGATGATGAAGTCAAAGTTTTCCAGCTACACATAGTAAGACCATGCTTAATTTTTTTGTTGTTGTTTTCAAGCACTTATGAAAAGGACAATTTTGGGTTCTCCCCCAAGCTCCTAGTACCTGCATCTCCAGACAGTATTAAAATGTCCTGAAACAGGAGTGATGAAATTAAATACGCTCTTCCTGCTGTGCTCTAACCCCAAAGGAGTTTGACCCTGGAGGAGAGCAAGTCTACTCTCAGCATAAAGGGAAGTGATGTTCCCCTTTCTGAGCTCAGCCAAGCTATGTGGATGAGGGTAGGGAAGGCCCGTGGATCTCTGTAAGTGGCCTAGGTGGACCAGCTTTGAATTCTACGGATAATAACTAGGAACTGAGCCGCCTCCCGTTAAAAATTATTTTAAAGTCAACGTCCTTTCATTTGAGAATGCATAATCCCGGTTGATTCCTTCGCTCCACACAAAGTCTATGCTCTCTTGTTCTGTGATTGTAAAGCGTGCTCTACCTCACCGCACGCCAGTCTCACGTGCCCACTGACTTCCGCTATTGGGCTGATGCGTGCCCACCAGATGTGGTCAGATCCTGTGCAAACATGTGAGGCTCCTGGGCCTGCAAAGAAAGAAACTGTATTTCTCACCTCCTTGCTGGCAAAGCTCCTCTTGGACCCGTGGAGAAATGCTCCATGTATCGGGGATTAACGATAGAGCCAAGAAACGCAACGTAGCAACCAACTGGTTCTTTTTTTTTTTTGTGATCAAATGAAGTTTTCCCCCTTTGGCCAGCAATGCTGGGGCGGAGCTGTCGCGGGCCTTGAAGGTTTTCTTCAAGAGCAAAGCCACTGTGAATTCAGAGGAAACTGTAAAGGAATTTCCTAGAAAGAGCGTGGCCAATTCATGTTTTGATTCCCTCCTGGGGTGGTGTGTGTTTTAAAGGCAACTTGGCCAGGCAGGCCATAATGGAGGGAGGACGTTTCCACTGGAGTGGTTTTCCGCTCAAGAGCCAAAGCCTGCCGTCATCAGCCCTGTTTGTGTTTCCATACGAGCCAGAGCCTGTTCAAATTCCTTGTGGCCAATGTTTACTGTACAGTGCTTCCTCCATAGTGTGTAAACTGGCTATTGAGCACTGTGGCTATAAATCACTCAGGGAGCACATAACATTTTTTTACTAGCTTGTTCTGTTTTGTGTTTCTCTTCCTAGGATATCAATAACAAGAGTGACAGCTGACATTTCTCTTGCTAAGAGGTCTGTCCTCAACAATCCCAGCAAGAGAGCAATCATTGAACGCTCCAACACCAGATCCAGCTTAGGTAAGATGCGTTCCTGCAGGCATGAGGTGTATATGTGGGGGATGTCTTGTCCTGTATGGAGACGTGTTGGGTATCTGTAGAGAGAGCCAGCCAATGGACAGGAGAGGGGCGAGTCTTGTAGCAGCTAGAGCCCCCCCCCCTCTCAGTTCTGATCTATTAGCTGTGCCGCAGTCTGGTGGGAAAAAGGCCTCCTCAGGATCTTCTGTTCAGTTGCTGCTGAACCATAGGGAACCACCCATTCCCCAAATGTCACAATAAGGCTTCTGTCAGAGCTGACACACAGCTGCATGAAAGGAAATGAGATGCTGAGAAGAGCATGGTATGATGTATTTGTGTGTACCGGTATACCCAAAAGCGCCATCCCTTTCAGTAGACATGGTGACCGTCAGGATGAACATGCAGGGAACCTAAACCTGTCTTTTCTGGGTGCTTTTGGAAAACCTGTTAAATTCCTTCAGCAAGGGAGAATAAAAGGTTGTTAGGTGAGTTGGGGTGTGAATAGAAGTGAGTCACTTTGGGAAATATTGCCTTGAAACCATGGGGGAAAAAGTAGTAACCGTTTTGGAAGCTGAGTGAGGGTATGCATACCTGTAATCTCAGCACACGGGAAGGGGAGTCAAGAGCATCAGGAGTTCAAGGCCAGCCTGGACTACCTAAGACCTTGTCTCAAAAGCAAACCAACACCAGAGTCAACTCAGGCATAAGGAGCATCCATACCAGTCCCAAAGATGCTGAAACTATGCGGTCTAGTGGTAGAGTGTTCACTAAGGGCTTCCGGCACCGGAGTTTCTGACTGTCCCAGCTTTGCCTGCCTGTAGCAGATTTATGAAGAAGCTTCCATTAGAACTCCCCCATGCCATAACCTGTCTGAGTAGCCAAGACTGTTGGTTTTCTTGAAGAAAATACACTAGGTAGATAAAAGATGCCTTTGACTTCCTTATGCCTATGATTTGCTTCTTATGCTCTCTGTACAAATTTTCTAAGCCCTGGGCTCACCCTGCTGTGTGACCCAGTCTTGCCCGGTCTCCCCAAGCTCCGCCGCTGCTTATGCCGCAGTGCCACAGGCCAAGGGCCTTGCGTTGTTTCAGCAGTAGGTATGAGCCAACATGCCAGCTCACTGCTGCTGCGGAGTAAACAAAACCCAGGAATTTCTGAGTTACCTGAACCGAGACGAAGAATGCTCTGTGGGTTCCAGTCCTGGGGCAGCTCAGTTTGTGTTGCTGCCTTTTATTTCCTTGGGAAAATTGCTAAATGCTATTTTACATTATTTTATAATAACACATGAGGCTCGAAACTGAAACGGTAAATGATATGAGCTTGTTCCATCATAGTTCTGCCTAGAAACGCCTTTAAAACTGTGGCAGTCCACAGCACCAACAGAGGGCCTACCCCACCACACCCCCACCCCCCGTACCTTCTGCTAAACTGGCTGCAGTAAAAACTGACTTTATTTTCAAATGCCCTTATTGAGAAAAATTTCTTTTTAAACTGTTTCTGACATGCTAGAAAAAAAGTGAATGTATGTTTATGATTACTAACAAATGCAGTCTATTACTACATAAGAATTTGGCAAGGATTTCCTTAAATAGATATCCTGAAAGCTGGCCACTGGAAAAATTAATCTGAAGCATTTCAGGACATTGATGTTTAATAATGTGAAGGCAATGTGTGTTTTGACTCTTTGAATTCATATTTTTTTAAAAGATGTGTGTGTGTGCGTATACTGACATGCACATATATACCACATATATAGGGGTGCCTAAGGAGGCCAGTGAGGTTGTCTAGCCCCCTGGAGCTGGGGTGGCTATGAGATGTCTAATGTGGATGCTGGGACCGAGCTTGGTCCTCTGGAAGGGCAGCAAGTGCCTTAACTATTTGGCCATTTCTCTCTCCTCCACATTCATACTTTTTAATGTAGATCATGCATTAAATGTCAGTGATTCTCTGAGAACTGAGAAACTTTTGTTTTTTATGCAAAGTCTTCTATTAGTAGAATCTAATTCAGATTTTGGGCATGACACACTACATCAGCTGATTAATAAAGTATATAAAGGATTTTTTTGCTGGTTTTTTTTTTTTTGAGACAGTATCAATACAGAATGCAGTCTGGGCTGAAACTCTCTGTGTTTCCATGATGACCTTGAAGTCATGATCCTTTTGCCTTGGTGTCCCAAGTATTGGGATTCCAGGTATGCGCCACCATGTCCCACTTAAAGACCTTTTAAGTTTCAGAAAAACATGTACTTTGGTCATGTGCTTCAACATTTCCCCCCCCCTCTCTCTCTCACACACACACACACCCCAGAAGGAGAGTTTGTAAGCCACGCACAGCAGCACACACCTGTCATCACAGTACTTGGGAGGTGGAAGCAAGAGGTTCACAACTAGCTTGGGCTACATAGCAAGGCTCTGTCCCAGAATAAATTAAACTAACTAGATTGCTTCAGACACTTGAAAAGAACTAGCATTTTTATCTGACCAATTTAGAGGACGTGGCTGTGAGTCATCTGACTATTACATCCGGCCAGCTAGGTGTGAGTCAAGATGCAGTGCAGCACGTTAACATGATCTGTGCGTGTGTGTGTGCGTGCGTGTGTGTGTGTGTGTGTGTGTCTGTTATACTTATGTGTGTTATACTTATGGTAAATATACCTTAGGCAACTCCACCGTATCTAAAGCTTAAATTGAGCTAGACTTGGTAATCTACTGGTTGTCTGAGGACACTCACAATTAGTGAGGATACAAAGGTGTGTATATCAGTCAAATCAATACAGTTTTCAGGTGTTTTTTTCTTCCAAAACACAGTCTACAGGATGTTAAAATATAAACTATTGACAGAAATACTTCAATGTCACTTTCAGTGGCTCTAATGTATTTGCTAAATGTCATTCTCATTAAAAGCAACCTCAAAATGGAACAACCATGGCTATATAAATATCACCATGCTAGGCTGGTGTACGAAGCAAGCCAAGAGAGCTGGCTTAAGTTCTTATGCCACTTGTTTTATTCTATGCACAATTTAATCTTTAGAAAAGAGTTTTAAAAAGAACAGACATTGTGTGGTGCACACCTTTAATCCTAGCACTTGGGAGCCAGAAGCAGACAGACCTTTGTGAGTCAGAAGCCAGTCTGTTGCCATAACAAGTTACAGGACGGCCAGGGCTACATAATAGACTTTGTCTCAGAGAAACAAAAAAAAAAAAAAGATTTTGATAATCATGTCTATGAAAGTTCGGAGCCCTTTGTTCTACAGTACGGACACACACATTTGAGAGCTTATACTATTTCTTTTTAGTATAAATAATAATTATTGAGACTAACCATTGATTGTCTCCCCTTTCAGCGGAAGTACAGAGTGAAATTGAGAGAATTTTTGAATTGGCGAGATCTTTGCAACTGGTTGTTCTTGATGCAGACACCATCAACCACCCAGCACAGCTTATCAAGACATCCTTAGCCCCCATCATTGTTCACGTGAAAGTCTCCTCTCCGAAGGTAAATCCCTGTGTTCCTGTCTATGGGTTTAGAAGCTTCCTCCCTGAGGTTCGTTTGTGGGCAGAAAAATGTCTCCAGAGTCAGTTAATGGGTGCATTTTAAAACAGTACTCAAGTTCTAGGGACTTGAGGGTAGCTGAGAATCATCATCATCATCATCATCATCATCATCATCATCATCATCATCTCTGAGAAGCTCCTCCCTGCAGTCAGAGATGATAAAATCCAAACAAGAGCACAAGGACGGAAAACAAAAAGTGGACCCTGGCCTTTCGTAGGCTGTGCATTCCCGGTTGGCCAATTTCCTGTATAATATTGATTCTTGAGTCACCTACAGTCTCTGCCCAGTTGAGACAGAAAGGACATAGTCCAGGAAAATGCCTTCTGCAAGGTAAAAGATCACTGCATAAGCATCTCTCACAGAAACGCTGCAGCCCTCGTCGCTTGTGCGTAGCTGGGTTCTTCGGGGAATATAGTGCTTTACTGGTTAAGCAGGAATGGTCACATCAGCTACCAGAGTGACAAGAACAGAGGGAGATGGCCCAGACTGCACTCTTGATCTTGATGCTCTTTTAGTTTTACATTTACTTAGTTATTTTTTTTAAATCTCTCTCTCTCTCTCTCTCTCTCTCTCTCTCTCTCTCTCTCTCTCT